TTGCTTAGCGGTGCGTGGTCTCTTGAACATGCTACTCCCCTTCGCAGCCAGGGCAGCCTGCGCGCCGCCGCCCCCTCGCGCCCGGGCGGCCCCGCGAGTAGCCCCCCACCAGACTCCCAAAATCCCTGCGTCGGCTGATGTAGATCCCAACGGCTCCCTCTGCGACCCTGCGGATTCCGGATCACCTCACCACTTGATCCCCAGCTTTGGCAGCACCTCGCTCTCGAAAACATGGGAGTATGGGCCGTGCCCGCTGTCATGAGTCAGCCCCGCCAGCTCGACCACGTCCATGTCACCCGGCGACAGCTCTGGGGTGGGGTGGGCGGGGGGGTGAGCGGAAGCTCAAGAGGCGCGCTTCCACGCGCTGACGGGGCGTGCCGCTGAGCCCGGTGCGGGCAGGAGCCTGGCCACAGGCCAGGGGCGCTGCGAAGCCCTGTCAGCCCGGACCCATACAACTTTGAATTTGTTCGTGCCGCAAGACTGCGTGCTTGGACCTAAGGCTGCTGCCAGGCAGGGCAGATCGGGCATGCAGGGTTCGGTGCGGGGACAGGCCGCGCGGCCCACCTAGCTCAGGCTGCGTTTCCCGCAGGTGCGCCACCATCTGCGCTGCCAGGTGCGCCACCCCCAGCGAGTGCGTGAAGCGGCTGTGCTCGGCCGAGGGGTACACCGCGCTCGCGCAGCCCAGCTGCTTCATGTGGCGCAGGCGCTGCAGCGGCGGCGTGTCGAGCGCCGCGACGGCGGCGGGGCCCAGCTTTACGTAGTCGTGCAGGGGGTCACGGATTTTCTTGCCTGTGCGCGTCGAGCCCAAGCGGGGCAAGGGGGCGCGTTTGGTGGCGCTTGCATGCGGCGCGGGCGACGCTCGTGCCACTGCGCCTCGCTGGCATTCGGCCTTGTGCAGATGCAGTCCGGGCGAAACCCGCAAGCTGCCTGCGAGGAGTGCGAACAGTTTGGGCGCACCCTCCTCGGCGCGCCGCTGGTTGTACTCGTCCCAGGCGCTCCCCATGGCCTCAGCTGTGCGCGTTCAAGTCTGACTTGATGCTGTCCTAGCCTCACGGCAGGGCCGCTCGCCGGGGTTGCGTCCAGTTGCGCCGCACTGCTGCAGCCCGAGCCAACGCGAAGGCCAGCAGCTGCAGCAGTGCTCGCGCCTTCGCCGGCGAGCAGCTTGCCGCAGCGAGAATCTGTTAGTGAACCTGCCAGTCGCGATCTCTTTCGCGGCGCCTGATGCCTAGGATGCTGGCATTCTTCTGCACGCAATAATGTCCGAATCGCGATCCGCAGCGTGGCCATGCAGCGCCGATTCTTGATATCTAAAGGCGATTATATGCACCTGGCAGTCAAGAGGGCTGCTGTTAAGCTGGGTCACTGGGATCTCACTTTGTCAATGACGCGCTGACCATGCCGTGCGGCGCTGTTCTGCATGATATCTTTGAACACCTTACCGGGCCAAGCGGCAGTATCCCCAATACCATAACATGTGCTCTCGCAGGTGTGTGCTCGCGGGGACGCCTAGAAGGGTCTGTGGGTGCCCCCTGTTCCGGTGTGTGCAGTCAGCTTGCTCGCTTGCAATCAGCCCCACCAGCCATTGGCCAATCAGTCTCTTCATCTCACGGGCACTTCACTCGGGCATTGTCATCTTGCGTTCGTTTCGCTGCATGCATGTTATGACCTGGTTGCGGCAAGCTACATATGTTGAGTTCGGCTGCAGCAGGAAACGCACTCTCGTGCACCTGTAAGTTTGACCCCTGGGTGCTAATGCCAGAGCACGGCCAGAAAAGCGACCATGCCACGGGTGAATTGGAAGATAAGCAAAGATATTCATGATCTGCAGCAACCATCCCAGAACTTCTTAAGTAGATGTAGTCAGGATGTGCAGTTCCAAGGAGCGCGCACAGCACTCCACCAAGCTTCTTGGCGGCCCTCGACTGTGCATCGTGCTGCTGCGTGCGCTATCGCCGCAATTTACTCCTTTTGCAACACCTGGTGTGCACACCCCAGGTGAGCCAGCCAGAGAGGCTCGTGCCGGCCTCGACGTAGCTGCGCGCCTGCCGCCTGGGCGTCACATGCTGAGTTGACGCTTGGTTGACCATGACGCATGCTGCCGCGAGACGCTCAACGATTTGTTACTGCCGCAATCCATTTGCCGCGGGCGTGGCAGGCAGCAGGCATGATGCCCAGGTCTGATGGAGCTAAGAGTCTGATCAGCGTTGTGCGGGTTCGACTGTCAGCGTGGCTGTGGTGCCCGGTCCTGCCCGTGACAATTTGGCGCTTGAATATTTTCATAAGATTTTGTGGAGCAGATAAATGTCCTCGTAGCAAGCATTCTGCACTGAAGAAGCCGAAGCGCTCGATCATGTGCCAAGTCATCGCGCGCAGCCCGTGTTGCCATGCCTTTCCGTTTGGTAACATGGAAAACAGACTTGAGAAGATTTATTTGTGGCAATAAGGGCTGGCCCGTCGATCTCGAGCCAAGTGCTTTCGATTACCAACAGCTCGCTGCGATCCACACGACGAGACGGGAAAACCATAGGACTATTTTGAACAGCAAGCGTGCCCAGTCGATTCTCGCCACAGGAGTGGCTGCAGACGTCGTCGGACGCAGCGGCGCTGGACGCAAGCGCTGCTCGTGCAGTCTGCGCCACGCAGGCGCAACTGCCCAGCGCTTTTGCAGCATACATTTGAGCAGCAGCTTGCACGCAGCTCGTTGAGCAGGCGTGACTGGCGCTGGCGGCGCTGCTCGCAGCCATGATGGACACCGACAAGCGCAAGCGGCTGATGCGCCAGATCATCAAGCAGGTCCACCCCGACCTGTTCACTGACTTTCAGATGCAGCGCGCCCAGAACAGCGAGAGCCTCAAGGTGAAGGGCAAGGGGGTGCCGAGTGGCCAGGGTTGCAGGGCGAACCGAACCGCCGCGCACGCAGTGTCGCGCGCCCACGACACAGCGGCGCCAGCGGTTCGGTGGTGGTTGGAGCGGATCCCATCGTGGCCTGTAGGCGGAGGGAGATCTTGGGCGTGGCCCGCTCGCCGCACGGACGGCCCCGCACCGCCGTGTGGCTGCGGACGCGGCATGGCATGAGGGCGGCTTGCATGTGGGCCAAGACCTGGCGCGAGGCGCTCCAGCACGACATCAGCAGCCGCCCCTGGTGCACAGCATCACCGCCCGGCCCCCGCCCCCCCCCAGTCGGCCGG